GGGCATATACCTAGGTTGTGGGTTCAGTTCCCTGTCAGGGCATGTATAAGAGGCAATCGAATGATGTTTCTTGCACTGATGTTTCTCTCCTTCACTGTCTCCTTTCCCCTTTCTCTAAGATCAATAAGCATATCCTTGGGTGAAGATTAAAAAATTAAAACTACAAGCTAGATAATATGGTTTGGGTTTGACAAGTACGTTATAATTAAAGTTTGTTCACATAATCTTGCGAGTGTTTTATAAGTTGGGGTGATTATTGTCATAGAATTTAGTGGCTTATGAGCAGAAAAATTTGGTCAGACCTGTATTTTGGGGAGATTTGTTGGATGAATTGGAACAGGCAGAAGCTGCAGGTAAGGCAGTCAGTTAGGAGGCTTAGGTAATCATTGACAGTCTGAGTGAGGACAGCTGCTGTGGAAATTTAAACAAAAGAAAAAAATCTAGTTTGAGGCCCTCTTGTTCTTATCTTGATCATCTATCCTTTGGTAATCATCTGGAATCCATAGGCCCGAGAAGCAGAATATGAGAGAGAAATGAAAGTCAGATATAATGACAGCATTTGACCCTGCATGACCAAAAGGATGGTGGTGTTATTAAAAGAAGTGTTTATTTCTGGAAGAAGATGCATCCTGGTGAGAAAGTGATGTTTTTAGTCTGGCACATGTGGAACAGAAAAGGTGACCGCAGGCTCTGGTTTGCCTGTTGTGCCAGCATAACTATGAAAAGTACTCCCTTTCACATTTAAAGGTGTCCTTGTTTCATATTGTCACCCTGGGAACTAGAAAAGCTCTTAGAAGTACAACGGAAACTAGGACTAGAAAGTCACTGTCATTTATTTCTGAGACATTTGTTGACCTAAGAGATACACAGATAAGACACATGCAGAGCCTACAGTCTTATGGAAGATAGTGTTGATAGTGTTTTAAATAGGTGTGGTAGAAACTTTGGAGAGCACAGTAATCATATTTTGGGAATTCACTGCATTGTGGTGGATCATAGTAGCAAGGGGAAATTAAAGGGAAAGAAGAAAACAGTAGGGACGACAAAGGAGCCAATAAAAGATCCAGTTTCAAGAAGGAACCTTGCTGGTCAAAAGGAATGGCAAAAGAGTAAGAATCAGCAATAAGAGGCTGCTGCCTAGCAGCAGCCCATCAACCAAGCCTGCAACTACCAGACCTTCCAAAGAGAGAAGTGCTGGTAGTAGAAAAAGGATACACCCACCTGGCCAGTTGCTCAAGATCATTTCTATCAGTTGATGAGCTAACAGATCTTATGGCTACATCAGCCCTCAGCAAACATGCAAGATAGAACTGAGGAGAAAATTCTTTGATTGGCCCTTTACCAGGTGGTTCATAGCAGCTCAGCCATTTTTAGAGCAAAGGGCAGAGTTTAAATTAAATCTCCAGTCACTCTTCTGAAGAAATAGTAACACCAAATTTAATTTAGGATATCATGTAGGCATTGCATGTGCCAAGGCCAGTTCATTTAGTGAGTTCTTGTGTGATGTGGGTCTCTGCAGAATTTAGCCTTAGTCTGAGAAAAGCTAGCCCCTGGCTCATACCATACACCAGGTAGTTCTAAATATAAACCATTTATGTTAAAGGGAAGGTAGGTTCTGTTCATCTTTCCACACCATCATAGCTCCTAAAAACACTTCTGTGTGACATGCACATCTAAATAAAATGGATTTGGCTCAGTAAGAGTTTCATTTATCTTCTGAACACTTTCCACCGATACTCATCACAAGACTTTTCCCAAGATTGTGAAGTAGATTAATATAAAAAGTCTCTTTCCATGACAGAAGTAAGGCACCATGAGAGTGGACACAAGCCAAAATAAGCTAATAATGCATTTTTCCACACAACCATGTGTATGAAATGCAATGAGCCACTGAGCAACCTTAGTCAAAAAAAGATTTGCTCTTTCTTTTTTGGCAAAAGAAAAAAAGTTGGCACTTGTTTTTCTGAAAAGAGAATCTGCCCATTAGGTGATTAGTCTGAATATAGTCATTTGTGTTTATATTAAACTTAATTTGTAAATATTTTGGGTTAATATCTCTACTTCCGTGATCAAACACTGTGGAGTTTATGTATGTATTTGATACATGGCATCTTATTTGCTGTAATTAAAATTCTGGTACTTTTCATTATGTGGTACAGAGAACTAATTTGCTTGATCCACGTGTTAGTAGAACTCATTATTGTCTAAATTAAGTTTGTCTCTCAAAACATAATTAGTTAACATAAAATCTGTTCCATTATTTTTTTTTATTTTTTTTAAAGATTTTATTTATTTATTTTTAGACAGAGGGGAAAGGAGGGAGAAAGACAGGGAGAGAAACTACAATGTATGGTTGCCTCTTGCATGCCCCCAACTGGGGACCTGGCCTGCAGCCCAGGCATGTGCCCTGACTGGAAATCGAACTGGCAACTCTTTGGTTCACAGGCCGGTGCACTCAATCCACTGAGCCACGCAGGCCAGGGCTGTTCCATTATTTTTAATTTGAGAAGGAAATGGTAGTTTTGTTTCACATCACTGATCAAAAGACTTGTTCTGCTGTAGACAAGAAATGTCTGCTTTAATAGACCTTCAGGATGGAATACATACTGATTATTCATCTATGAAAGGTTCCCCTTCCTCAAAATAAAACAGTCCTTTAGTTGTCGCATTAATTTATTTATGATGATTATTTTAAAAGTGTACACATTTTAGATGCAAATGTTTGATAACTTCGTGTATTAACCAGATAGTTAAGTGCCTACTCTGTGTCTAGCATTGTATTAGATGCAATACAGTACGATCCAGGTAGTATGGAGCAGAAGTGTGAAACATATATGCATTTAACATTTATTCCTAAAAAGAAAACAATGATAGGAATCCTCTTATTTCTGAAGAAAAAAATAAGCTGTGATATAACTAAGAATGTACTATGATTTATAAGAAAGACAGTTGAGCTCATCTTTGCCATTTTAATTATGATGTGTCTTGATGTGGGCCTCTTTGGGTCCATCATATTTGGTACTCTGTGTGCTTCCTGGACATGCGCACGTGCGTGCGTGTGTGTGTGTGCGCGCTTGTGTGTAGCCAGATTAGGGAAGTTTTCAGTCATTATTTCTTTATATAGGTTCTCCATCCCTTGCTCTCTCTCTCTCTCCTTCTTCTGGTACCCCTATGTTGCTGATGTTATGCTTAATGTTGTCCCAAAAGTCCCTTAAACTATCCTAATTTTTTAAATCTTTTTCCTGTTTGCTATTTTGATTGTTTTTTTTTTCTACATTGTCTTCCAAATTGCTGATTCAATTCTCTGCTTCATCCAACCTGTTGTTTAGTCCTTCCAATCTAGTCTTCATTTCAGATACAAAAAGACCAGTCCTTTATCAAATTCACAGGCCTTACTCACATTTTATCAGTTGTGTCACTAATGACCTGTATGACCAAAAAACCCCCCAAAACCTGACTCACATGTTACATTCTGTTGTCATGTCTCTTTAGTCTCCTTTAATCTGGAACAGTTCCTCCTCTCTTTGTGTTTCATGACATTGACATTTTTGAAGAGCAGTCATTTTATAAAACGCTCCTTAATTTGTCTCTGCCTTATGTTTCCTTATGATTAAATTCCTGCTATGCATTTTTGGTAGGGATATAACAGTAATAACACTGGGCATCATATCAGGAAGTATCTGATGCTCAATTGTTCTATCACTGGTATGTAATATTCTGTTACTACTTTTGTCTACTTAATTTTAGCATCTACTTCTGAAGCAACTGTTACTATATTAGTTGTCAAATAGAGATTTCATAACTCTGTCATTTCCTTCTACATTTATTGTCTGGCTTTCTACTACAAGGATGACTTTTCTCTCCTCTTCTGCTCCTCTGTCCTCCCCTCATGTAATCAATGAGTGTAAAAATATGTATATGTAACATCTGAGACTTACTGTGATTGTATTGTAAAATTTTATTCTCAGCTCTTTTTTGATGAAATAAAGTTGTTATGCCTGAGCTACTTGTAAACCTATGTACTAGAAAAATACAGCGTACTTGATTTATTTCAGGCAATGTTCAGTAGCAGAAAGCATAAAATGAAAGATGAGTAGCGTGACTAGAAAGGAAAGAAATTAGGGGAGAGACATATTTGAAATGTAATGGTGGATCTAATTTAGTATTTTGATAAACACATTTAAGTTACATCATTTAGTAATTCAGCAAATAGAGCAAGTAAACAAAAATGGGAAAACAATTATGACAAAGTGAGTACTGTGCAGCTTTCAGCCTACTTTTTATTTGGTATTCCACAGCTGGGGAAATCATGCTAAAATACTTTTTCTAGCCCTGGCTGGTGTGGCTCAGTGGATTCAGTGTCGGCCTGCGAACAGAAAGGTCGCTGGTTCAGTTCCTGGCCAAGGCACATGCCTGGGTTGTGGGCCAGGTCCCGAGATGGGGTGTGTGAGAGGCAACCACATGTTGATGCGTCTCTCCCACACATCGATGTTTCTCTGCCTCTTTTTCTCTCTCCCTCCCTTCTCTCTAAAAATAAATAAATAAATAAAATCATTTTAAAATTAAAAAAATAAATACTTTTTCTTGAAGAAAAGCTTGTTTCCATTTACCCATTTCCAGTTAAGTTAAAAGTGAATTGTTCTGACTTGTTAGCAAGAAATTTCAAAAATGATAACAAATAATGTTATACCTGTCTTACTGAATTTCAAGCTTTACATAAGCTCTACCTTAGTGAAATTTATAATTTTAGTATATATTAATATATATTTTATAGTACCATGCTATGAATTACTAATACATTTATTTAACTGTAGTTGTGTTCTTTCTCCAGGGTAAAATGACTAAAATGCTTAATATAATTTGCTTTCAAGCTTTATTTAACTCAGTTGTGCTATGTTTAACTATGCATGTCTGAATATGAAAGAGATTGCTGGTCTTTGGTTGTAGAGATTATATTGTGATACTAACTGTTGCTTTTAAAATAAACATATTTTTGTCAGATGACTTGCAGGGTGCACAGTCAGAAATTGAGGCAAAACAAGAAATTCAGCATCTTCGCAAGGAATTGATTGAAGCCCAGGAGCTAGCTAGAGCAAGTAAACAAAAATGCTTTGAACTTCAAGGTGAGATCAAGATTACTTTGATTCTTTAGGGGATGTGGAGGCCACATGGTATAACTTAAAGGCCCCAAACTTGGAGTCCAAAGGCATGGTATGTTGTTCCAGATCCACAATTTTATTGGATATGTGATCCTGGGACATTCACTAACCTTTCTGAACTTATGTTTTAAATTAATAAAGTGGGGAGAGTTCAGTTGCTTGACTTCCTTCACATTGTTGATATGAACATCAAGAAAGACTTCTACCAATAAAAGAGCTTAGTAGTTAATCACATATTAAGTATAACAGGAGGAAAAAACATAATGTATATAAATTTATAAGTTTTAGTTACCCTAATGTTTGCTACTCAGTATAAGATAGGGAGATTTATATTCATCAGTAAATATTCATCAGGGAATATAAATCAGGCTAGGCTAAGGCATAGAACCCTCTAATGTCCCAACCATTTCTTTTCTAATAGCTCACTTAACTATAGCCAGTGGAGTCTGTGCTATTCCCTAGAGCTTACATTCCTGTATATTCACAGTAGCTTCCTGGTTGTAGGCAATTAGTACGGTAGGAAGTCTTAGAATGAGGAGAAAGTGAATGACCTCTAGAGTCCTCATGTTCCATAAGACAGCCTTCCTGACCAGAAGGAAGATTCTGAGGGAGAAGTTACTACTTCCTTCCTTTTCTGCTTCTTGAAGAAATTAGTGTTGGTATTCACGTGAACCTTTTGGAGGGTCCAGGCTAATTTATTTAATTATAATGAAAACATATTTAGCAAAGAGCAATTATTTAGTCAGTACTTACTATTTACTTTTAGTACACATGAGGATTTTAAGTTTTTTCAATTTAAGCTCAAAATGCTAATTAACAGCTATCAAAAATGCTGCTTCTAAAGAATAGCACATATTATTTATAATCTAGAAAACTCCACTACGCAGTGGGATAGATTTATTACTACTGTTTTGTGCTCCTAAAATGTTTAAACTGTCTAACTGCTAATACTGATGATACTTACTGCCTAACTTTTGTTTTCTTCAGTAAGCTTTAGGAGAGAATTTTATAGAAATTTCCAGCTGCCCAATTCTGAATACTTTCATTAACTCACAAAACTAGATATACTATGTTTTACTTTCAGCTCTTTTGGAAGAAGAAAGAAAAGCTTATCGAAATCAAGTTGAGGAATCCACTAAACAAATACAGGTTCTTCAAGGTATGGAACACTCCAAGGGTATTTGTGATTGTTTTTAGTGATTCAAAAGGAATGTGAAAGAAGAAGAATGCAAAGGGTTCCCATTTTGTGTGGCTTTCATTCTTCCCTATTAACCAGTGAGCTTTTTTTTTTTTTTAAAGAAGACATAAGGAAAGATTCCCCTTTATTCCAACAATAGGCATTTGGAGTGAGAAGAACAGGGGTGAAAGTATGAATATGGGAAGGTTGTCACTTTCTGAGCTGTCATAGGAAGTTAGTTTGAGCTGCTCTGTACATCAGCACTTTTAGATTGTTGGTAGCATTGTTGCTAATGTTTATTACACACTTAACATTGCAACAAATATTACATACCACATAAAATAAATAAATAAAATAGTATATAAATATAAAATAGTATAATGGTCCCTGCACTGCCTTCAGTGGTAAAGTCTGCTTTTCACACCCCTGTTTAGTGGGCTTTCATCAGTCATTACAGAAATGACCTGAAAGACCCCTGCCTATCAAGGGTTTTCTTTGAACCAGAGCTGCTGGTACTGGGAGGCTATAATTATGAGATACTTCAGGATTAATTTACCTTTATTGTCAAAGAGGGAACCGATGTTATTTTAAAATTTTAGTTTGAGAGATAGTGTGAAAAGAAGTTAAGTAGACAGGTAACCTCACTTCTGAAAAAATGAAGAGTCATTGTATGAGGCCTGTGACATTTGCCCTGAAATGTCCCAGAGAAAAACCAGTCTTTAGTTTTTTGGTTTTTGGATTTTTTTTAGTGGGATATTTGAGTTCTTTAAATTTTTTAATTTTATTGTGGTCAAATTAGAATTTCTGGTGTAAATTGTATGTCTCTTAAGTTGAAACTCTTTAAACGCTTATTATAGTTCAATGCTATTATTCATTAATTTATATAAATCTTACTGGACTCTATATTGGCATCTTGTATTGAATATGTGCAATTTTCCCTAAAGGGACTTAGTGCTGCCTCTTGTCTTAAAGATGTTTTACCTAGGCATTATTGAGTGCCCCCTAGTGCCAGCATGTATATTTCAGTACTTAATCCACAAATCCATGGTCATACTATCTCTGGCCATTGTGTCTGTTCAGATTTTGAAACTGTTACTCTCTGAGTGCTTCGTACAAACTTAAAAGGCCTAATATTTTCTTTAATGTTTACTTACAGAGCAATCTCCTCCTCTCCTAACCTTAAATCCTCTTATTTTAATTATTCTTTTCTTCTAAGAAACTTTGCCTACCTATAATTTTCCTATGTTACAGTGGTAAAAACCAGCATCCTAGTCCTGAATCAAGTATTATTTTATACAAATTATTTCTAGTTCCATCATGAGGGCATAAAAATGATGTGTTAAATACGTCTTTGATTAAGCAGTATTCATTAATTTTACTAATTCAACCAATAATTTTTTATTTACTCTGCTATTATTGGGGATAGAGCATGCACTAGGTGTATAATCTAGTGGAAAATATAAACAGCAAGCAAATAAATATGTAATGTGACATCAAATAAAGGCAGAATAAATAGCTTGAGAATGACAGAGAACTTTTTTTAGGTAAGTCATCAGAGAAGGCTTCTTTAAGGCATTAACATTTGAACAGAAAATTGAATCAAAAACATTAAACATTTTTCTAATGCTGACCATTTGACCAAGCAATTCTACATCTAGGAATTCACCCTAAGGAAAAATAGGATCATGTTATAAGCAATATTGTTTATAGTAACTACAAACTAAATAGCTTACAATAACTAAAAGGATCTGTCAAAAAAGTTACACTGTAACCATTTTTTGTTATTAAGATATGTTCATCACCAGTAGAATAGAGAACACTACGTATGAGTCCTCCCTGTTTTATTTTTATATGTATATATGTAAATGCATAGAAAATACCTAGAAGAATAGGTACCTAGTATTAGAAGCATTTTCTCTATATGGGGGAGACAAACATTACTTTGGGGTTGTTTTTTTTTTTTCTCTTTGTGTTTCTGTGTTTTGGTACTTCCTGCATTAAACATACATTGCTTGTACAGTTTAAAGCAACAAACAGCTGTGACATCCTGGGCTGTGCAGTGACTACAGTTCCTTATGGGCTGTTCTTTTATTCCTAACTGCTATCGACTAAGAAAATGATAGGTAAATATGTTTTTGTAGCCCAGCTTCAGAGGTTACACATCAATATTGAGAATCTTCGGGAAGAGAAGGACAGTGAAATCACAAGCACTCGAAATGAATTGCTTAGTGCCCAAGATGAAATTTTGCTTCTTCATCAAGCAGCAGAAAAGGCTGCCTCTGAGCGAGACACTGACATTGCTTCTTTACAAGAAGAGCTTAAGAAGGTGAGAGGTGAGCTTGAGCGGTGGCGGAAAGCAGCGTCTGAGTATGAAAAAGAAATCACGAGCCTGCAAAACAGTTTTCAGCTTCGATGTCAGCAGTGTGAGGATCAGCAGAGAGAGGAAGCAACAAGGCTACAAGGTGAATAAGTATATTTTACATAAAGCTCTTAACAATAATAACCTTATAACTTGTAAAAATTAACCATTCAGTCTATTTTTCTCTTTGATAGCGATTGGTTGTACAAAGCAGTGTCTTATATCGGGGCTATGAACATTCTTCAGGTCTGCAAGCTCTAGAAAAACAAATTTTTTTATAATTTTATATTTTATAATCCTATTAAAAATGATTTGTCTTATAAAAGTAAAGTGGGGCCCTAGTTGGGTGGCTCAGTTGGTTGGAGCATAATCCTGTAAACAAAAAGGTTACAGGTTCGCTTCCGCTTCCCAGTCAGGGCATGTACCTATGCTGCAGGTTCAATCCCTGGTCAGGGTGCACACAGGAAGCCACCAATTGATGTTTCTCTCTCACATTGCTATTTCTCTCTCTGTTTCTCTCTCCTCCCCCCCCACTACCTCCTCTCTCAAATCAATAAACATATCCTCAAGTGAGGATAAAAAAAAAATGAAATGAGAAAAAAAATTACAGAAGTTCAATATGATGGGACTTCCCCAAGGTGTAGATGCAGAGTAACAGGAATCTAAGAATAGTCATGTAAAATCTACATGTTTTTAAGGGAGAGAAGAGTATGTTCTCTGAAATTCTTCCGTTTATTCTCTGAATTATTATGGAAGTTATGTTCCTATATTAATAAATATGTTTTGGGATTCTTTTAGGTGAACTAGAGAAGTTGAGAAAGGAGTGGAAAGTATTGGAGACTGAATGCCATTCTTTAAAAAAGGAAAATGTTTTGCTATCATCAGAACTGCAGCGGCAAGAAAAAGAATTGCACAAGTATGTGAGAACTCTGTTTAGTTTCAAAATATTTATCTGAAATTTTAATCTGAATTTAATTTTTATATTTAAATATATTTTTGGAGCCAACTGTTTAGCCAGACTCATACTGGTATTTGGCAGGTTAACCATGCTAAATGAATACTACAGCATTTTTTTTTCTGCCACCACCATCATCATATGCATCCTTTCTTTTTGATGTACTCGTGGAATATCGATTCATTAAATACTACCTCCCCCCCAAAAAAAATTCCTAAACAAACAACAAAGATCTATAATCAGTGATTGAACTTGCCCTATAAACTGAATGATAATACATTTCAAATACCAGTTGCTTTTCTTTCACAACAATGATCGCTTCTTTAAATAAGGGTTATCAGGAGATGACTGTAATAAAGAATTTATTCTATTGAAACATGTGAATTCAGCTTCAAAATTTCAAACAGGGTTATATAAAGAGTACTAATATATAAAAGATCGAGAATCCTCTAATCAGTTAAATCTTTCTAACATCCAGTACCTTAAATGCAAAACAATGAATTCAATAAGATTTATTTCACCAAATTTAGCAAGCTCTTGTTTTCCTACAAACATTTGTTGCAGATTTTAGAATTTATTTTTTCCTTAAAAATTTGATATGTTCTGTGTTTTTATTTAAACAATGTTTGAATTTTTATTCAGAATATGAAAGTAGTACCAGTTTATTTTTGAAACCAATCTTAATTAACCCATCTCCTTCTCCCCAGTACACCAAAAATGGCAGTAACATTATTACTATCTTGCTAACTTTGTGGTCACACTCCTCAACAGCATTGAAGGGAACAAAAACTCAGTGATCAAGGTCAAGTCCCATATAAAACAAGCTTGGGGAAAAATAATAAAGAAAGGACCAGATATATCAGAAAATAATTAGCCTCATTATCTGCTTATAAAACAAAAAAATTGTAATATTAATTATACATTTGAAAAAATCAAGAACTAGTTGAAGGAACAAGATGTGCTGATTGAGTACCATGTGTTCTCACTATCCAGCACTTTTTTTTCTTTCAGTGTCATATCTTTACATAGCTTTTCCCACATTTATGTGTATTACTTTTTGAATGTTTAAAGATAATTAATAATAAAAAATACAACATGTTCGTTTATATATGTAAAAGTTTGTAAAAGCAATTCCAAAATATGAATAGAACAAAATAAAGGCCCAAAACACAACACATTTAGGCGAATTGTTTGGTATAAAATATGTGTAAGGTGATGTAGACACTCAAGTTCTTCATATTTGGAATACACTTGGATCTTAGTGAATTCATTAGTTTGGTATTCTAACAAGAAATATTGCTGCTTGATTACCTGTATAGATTATCTTAAATTATTCTTACTTTAGAAATATTGATATTTTAAAGATCCCAGACTTGGCCCCTCATTTTTGAGATGTGATTAATTGGACTCTGACAGACTGTTAAATGCTATTTTTTTACTTTAAATTTTGTTTAAATGGTGAAAGTAAGCCAATAAACTTCTTAAGAGTTGGAAGCATATAGTTTAGCCCTGGCTGGTGTGGCTCAGCAGATTAAGTGCCATCCTGCGAACCAAAGCATCGCCAGTTCGATTTCCAGTTGGGCACATGTCTAGGTTGCAGGCCAGGTCCCTGGTAGGGGGTACATGAGAAGCAACCACACATTGATGTTTCTCTCCCTTTCTTATTCCCCTCCCCTCTCTCTAAAAATAAATAAATAAAATCTTTATTAAAAAAAAGAAGCATATGGTTTAAAAACAATAGGTCCCAGAGGATGGAATATGTATATTAGATCATTAGTTAAATTGTCTGCCTAAACTCACATGAACTATTGAACGTAAATTAATTCTGTTTGTTAAACTTTTCTGGTTTAATAGTTCTCTAAGTTTATTTGTAAGCATACTTGTATTTAGAAACTAGTCTTTCTTTATAGGTCCTTTTCTACCGTTTAGTTTCTAGCTATATTGGCCTGACATCAAACCCGCCCCCTAAGAATCTGCCCTAGTATACAATCAAATGTGATTTATACTCCATAGTACCTCAGTTACAATATTGAATCTGAGTCTTATGACTCCTTCTGAGAGACATAAAACTATCATTTTGAAAACTTTATCCTCCTTTAGCTATTTCAGTTACAGAATTTGGCTCCCATGTACACTGGGAGCCAAATATACAACTACGCTATACAGGTCCTTTCGCCTTTGTTGTATATGACATAGAAAGGACTTGAATAAAGAATTTCTACTTAACGCCTATCAAGCTGTTTTCCTAGTGTGTAAATCGGTGGATTTTTTAATCAAGTTACAAAAATAATCATAGAATTTAAGTCAGAAATTGGGTTCAGTCTTCTTGTTTGACAGTAGAGGGCACTGAGACTCTCCTTGTGTTATTTGCGTCACTAGAACATGGTGCCTGACACAGATCTAAGAGTTCAGTAAATGCTTAGTCAGAGGATGATATTGCATCAGTTAAATGACTTGCTTAACATCCAACAACTAACTAGTTCAGAACTGAGGCCTAGAACCCAGCCTCCTGGTTCTTTGTCCCATGGTTTTCCCGAGTTGGGTGCATCTTCTTCTCATTTGAGTAGGTTTATCTTTACTTTAGTTGGCAGTGGCTTCTGAACTTTGAGTTTCTGTCCCCCATCCTATTTGTCAAGTACTTAAGCTTATAAGAAAAGAGTTGAAATACAGCTATTCTTTCCTGTAGCAATGTAGCCTACATTGAATCTTTTATGATAGTTAATATAATGTGATATAACAAAATATAGTCACTTCCTACTTGTTTTTTAAATTTCAACCTTTGTGTATATTGATTATCTGAAAATAGGACACAGCTCTAAACTTACTTGCATTTTTAGTGTTTTAATGCTTTTTACTTATTGAAAATACCTTATTCTTTTTTATACTTTTCTTTCCTCCCCAGAAATCCACTCTGTCCCTCCCAGTGAAATATATAAGGATTTGACTTGCTGCTGTACCTAGTTTCTACATGAGTAACTCTGTCAATATTTGTTTCACAGTTCTCAAAAGCAGAGTTTAGAGCTTACCAGTGATCTCAGCATCCTTCAGATGACTAGGAAAGAGCTTGAGAATCAAATGGGATCCTTGAAAGAACAGCATCTTCGGGATTCAACTCATTTAAAAACTCTTCTCAGTAAGGCTGAAAACCAAGCAAAGGATGTACAGAAAGAGGTAAAGCGAAAAGACATTATGAGCCCAGTTATGGTTGGACTTAAAGCCAAAAGCAAATCAGATATTCATGCTAGTTAGAGATAAAGTCACTTTACCTATCACAAAGTTGATACTTGGAACATCTGTGCTTGGTTATTTCTAGCTGTGTATCATGGTCCATATATAGAGAATTCATCTGTAGGGTTTGGCCTCAAAAATATAAATATACAAAATTACATTAAAAATTTGTCTGTACCAGTTAGTTGACCTGTGTGGTAAGTCCTTTGTATGAGAAGCACTCAAATCATTGTTTCTCTTTCAAAAACAGTATCTTATTTAGCTTAAAATACTTTGGAAAGCAAAGTGGGGCCACTCTATAATGCTTTTTAAACCCCTCAGGTGAAACTAGTCTGAAAAGTTACTTAAAATTTACCTCCTATCCAGCCAGCCAAACACATGTCCTATGACCTTTTACTTTCTTCCACTGCCCCATCCCATTTCCCCTTCTTCACAAATATGCATGATCCCTTTTCATGTCATTTTGCTTAAAACCTTGACTTGGTGGCTTTTTAAAAAATCATGTTGAAAATGGTGAGGGTTGACTGTGGAACAGAGACCCCAGCTAGCCTCTTCCTGAGCAAAGCCTTGAAGCTGACAGTGGGGCGAAAAGAGCCCTATTCAGTCCTTCCAGCCTTTCACTGCTCCCTGCATTGACTCCTGACCAGCTCTGGGGATGGAGAAGGCTGATGCATCTTGATCGCCTTGCTGATCAGGGCCCATCCCAGTCGTAGACTCTCTTAAAAAAAGGATTCATTATAAATAGAAAGACGTTGAAGACAATTCTTTGTCTTTAATAACAAATTTTCCCAATTGGTTTTAGAACGTCTGTTTAATCAATGCAGTTTTTCTTTGCACTTTCCTTTCCTTGTACTATCCTGAACTTGGAAACAATTATTGTTCTGTCTTCATGTTTGTTCCTAAAGAAAAAAAACAACCCTGTAACATTATATGTAGCCATACTGATTTTGTAGTATGTTCACTTTTATCCTCTTGTTAAGGATATGTGTTTGGAAAGACATCTCGTTTTATTTAGTTTGAACACAAATGTTGTGCCAAAGTAAATATCCTAGTATTTAATACTGTAAGCACTTTGTGTTCTTCCAGTCCATATCCCATAATTCTTTCAAAATCTGGGAAGAATGCTGTGGTTGGAAGGTGATTCTGTTGTATGTTACTATGAATGCATTACCGTTTTGTTGCATTATTTGTTTGCTTGTTTTTGGTCACTGAGCCATCAGTGCAAAATGCTTTAACTGTTTTCACAAGTGGCGGTGGCATGTTGTCACGGCATCTAAATTGTTGATAGCCTTTGGATTGCATTAAATGCAGCATATTTAAAAATATATCTGTTCTTGTCAATATGTTTCTTTTCTATTTTCTTGTTCAATGTTTTCCATTGTGAAATGATGTATAGTCATCACACTCCTTTGTAATGTAAATTGCTTCTCTTTCCGTTTGTGGATACTAGTCTGTAACTAAAATGTTCTTTAATGAGGTTCTTACATCTGTGTAATCCACTGCAAATGAATTACTACCTTTTATTAATGCACATATATTCCTTTTCAGTATTTCCTCTTTGTTCTCCTTTCTCTCAGAGTCATACTTAATGTGCATAGTATTACCATTATGTATCTTCAGCACTGTAAAAGGCTAAAATATTACCAGCTGATATAAGCAAGCTTATTTAAGAAGAAAATTGAAGGTGTTGGTAATATTGTGTGGTATATCCCTTTTAATGGGAACTGAGCTTGTTTCTCACCTCTGAGTTAGAAAACAAGATGGAGCAAAAATGATATCCAAGCAAGGTGTGAAACTAAGACTGCAGAAGGTGACCTTTGTTCCAACAATTAAATTTTTATAAATGGCAGCTTTTATTTGAACATTTAACAAAGAAAAATACATGAGAACAGTAAATTTTAACCCTTAGTATTATGAGGAAAACAGTGGTATATTATCTTTATATTTAACTGAAGAAAGCATCTATGTATATTAGTTTAACAGGAATATCTATGAATTCATAATACATTGAACACACAAGTCACCCTGCAAAGACTGACTCAGGAAAGTTGTTTGGCTTCACCATCTTGTCCTGAGGCCAGAGTTCTTCCCACCAATTTCACATGTTGAAGGGAAACACAAATCTTCCTGAATGAGCTGCCTTCCTGTCATTTTGCTTCACAACTGCTGGAATGGAGAAATGATTAAGTGCTTTGGTGTAAAGGGCAAGCTGGATGTGAGAATGATGGAAAGGGAAAGTAAGGGAAAATTTAGGTCAGCAAAGCACTTTTGACTTTATTACTCACTGTTAAGAATCAGATTATTGAGAATTGATTATGTTCTCAGATGCAGAGAATAGTCTAGGCATACTAAATTTGCCCTGGCAGCCTGCCCATAACCTTCTGCCTTCTGGAAGGAAGTCCACAGATCCCACTAATGAAAAGTTGTCATAAAGTCCAGGACTCTTACCCCTTAATTCATTCTCTGGCATACTATGTGGACTTGTTCTGGAAACATTGGTAGGTAATAAAAGGCTCCTTTAATATTTTACCTCCTTTTCTGTACCCATCTTTCCATTTTCTGGTGACTTTTCTGCTGACCCTAATCCGCCTTCCTCCACCCCTGCTGACTAATGTTTTTATATACATTTGCATCCTTCTTAGCATTTACCTTTGGAGTGCATAGTGATAAGCTCCTAATTAATGACTCCTAGGTACTGTACTTGCATTATTCAGAAGCACCACATGAAGGTGTATCCTTTATTGAAGAATTTCTAGGATACAGGCAGAAAGGACCTGGAAACTTTCCAGCCTCATGGGCTATGTTTAGGGTAGAGAAGAAACCTTGCTGGTATAGCAGACACATGGTATATTTATTTTATACTCAGCCTTTGTCTTTCTCTCTTCCTTCTAAAATCTTCAGAGATGGCAGAGTGGGGCAGCGGAGGCCGAGACAAAGGCACAGCCAACAGCAGAACAGTCTTTGTTCTTTGACTGGGAGCCCAGCTTGCATGTAAGATGCAATATCTAGAAGTGGAACCAGTCTAGAATCCCTACCTCCAGGGGCATTTAAAGTAGGCGCAAACCATACGTCGTTTCTCATTGACCTCACTTGTGTTCAAGGGATAGCTAGTGCATCTGAAGAAAATCAAATTATATACGGTGGACTGTTTCCCAGAGCAAGAAGTAGCATGTTTCACTATATAAAAATGTCTCAGAAACACATTTAAAAAATTATTTTTTAATTGATGCTCATAAGTTTAAGTTCAGAGATAGAAATATCTTCAGTCTTAATGCTGGTACCTTAGACACATTTCTTTGCTTTATTTGCCTAGAAATTCACTTATCCAGAAGATTTTAATAATGTATGATGCTAGATAAAGGGAGGGCTAATAGGAATTAATACTTTCTACTTTAAGACTAACATAGCTTGGCTGACATTGCTTACCAGGATATAAACTCATACTTTCTAACCTTGCCATTTAATTAAGCTATGGAGTTTTTCTTCACTTGTTTTCTTTTGCTCAGTTTGAAATTTTACTTTTCTCCTCTAACTCAGTGGAAAAAGTGATCCTTTATATTAGAAACAGATGACACAATGGTGACTTCTCAATTTTTTTTTTAACTTCAGAGCCAGAACATTCTTACATAGAATCAAATTAACATTAAATACTTCTTATCATTAGTGCAAATGATTCTGATCCTTCTTAAAACAAAAAGTCTTGACTTTGGTATTGTAGGTGACTTAATAGGGTCTGGTATATAAGCCTGACTAGAACCGTAACTTCATGCTCATTTAAGTTGAGTCTGCACACTCTTTTTTCTTTGCCTTTAGTATGAAAAGACACAGACTGTACTCTCAGAACTGAAGTTGAAGTTTGAAATGACTGAGCAGGAAAAACAGTCAATCACAGATGAGCTCAAACAATGTAAAGACAACCTGAAGCTGCTCCGAGAGAAAGGAAATAATGTAAGTCTTTGCAAACTTGGCTTAGCTTTCATTGAGAGGCCGGTGAGAGCCCTGAAATTGATTCTTCAGAGGTTTTTATTACTGATTTACATTCATATTACTGATTTAGATTCACAACTAAAGCCTGTGGTACACATGAACTAAACTTTTCATTATGAAATACCATGATGGAATCATTGTGTTACCAAGTTTTTTATTTAAGAATTTGCCTCTTTAACCTGTATACCTAGAAGAGCCTGAGGACTGCCTGGAGAAAGAGCCTTGTTTGCAGGAAAATAATTACCTAGGAACTGTCAGCTTTTCCCAGATTAAACTGAAGTTCTGTCATTAAACCATTATCTGGCTCTTGTTTTTCCCCTGCTGGGAAATGAAGCATTGTACCACCAGAGACCCACCTAAGGAAGAGCGTTGTATCCAAAAATGGAAACTTAATTATGGTTTTTATTTTATACTAATAATTTTCTCATTAAGGCACATTTCTACAAAAAACTTAGAGTCTTTTTGGCCTCCCATGAATGTTAGGAAATATTGATATGAGTTTCTGTAGAAGGGTGTGTGTGTGTGTGTGTGTGTGCGCGCGCGCGCAGTTGGAATGTTTGGTATAAACTGAGTTTAATAATAACAATTTGCTTTTCATTTGCTAGAAAGGCAGATGGTCTTTAAAAATAAATGTTATATGTTTTGGTGATCATTGCCTTTGTGGGGTATAACTGATGGATGGTGTTCAGTGTGGTTGGTTGTGCTCTGACTTATTTCAATCCTTTGTCATGGCTTGGACACTACAGTGGGCATGAATCACACACTTCCTACAGAGGAAGGCACTCTGCTTAACTTGCAGCACAAGTACAAAAGAGTGATGTTGCATGGCCATCACAGAATGCTCGTGAGTTTGTCCAACTGTCCTTTGCTAAAGATTGACTTAGTTTTTTTAGAAAATAAAAGCTTGTTGCTTAGTTAGAAGCCTTTTAGAAACTGATAAATTGGGTCTGGAGGCTTTATGCTAAGCAAAAATGGATTGCATTTATTTTGGAAATGTAGATTACAGAACTCTTCTAAAATCAGATCATAAGGTTTGATTCCAAGTTTGGTTATTCCTCTCTTTTATGTTAATTTATATCCCTCTGAGTATGGAATTTCAGTCTCCCTTCCACTGAATTAACCTATGAAGACATCTAGCATAATCAGAATGGATCCCCTGTACCATTTAGAACCTTTTCCAAAGTAACCTTGCTATTTATAGTTGTACAAATTATTTACCTTAAGGATGAATTTCCTTTTTTTATGATATTGGACTTGTGGTACTATAATATTACTTTGTAATAACATTCACTGTGGTAATTTAATATAATTGGTTATATTTGGTAATGTAACTGAAAGCCCTGAGACTTGACTGCCTGTTTTTATACACCAAATGTTTATCATACGTTGTGTCACATCTCTTGCTTGGCTCAGAAAGCACACACCACAAGGCATTTATTTTTAAGCTTTAAAGAATTACCATCTCAGACAAAAAGAGTTTTGGCTTTTAAAAAAAGGTTTTGAGGGAGAGATAAACTTTAGCCATTTCCAATATACTCATTGTCAAATAATGAATTCTAAGCATGGAGCAAAAGTAGTGTAGTGTCAAGCAGAGCATCAGTCGTTGAGGTATTATCATTGCTCTGTCTTACCGTGCTGCATTTCATTAGTATGTTAGGGACACCCACATTGCCCATTGCCTCCTGCTGTTCCTTTTAGGCTGGTAGTGTGTCAGCTTACATACCACAGTCCATCATTCTGGATTGTATTAGATGTCTTTAAAATGTTTGAGTCAGTGTAAAACCTGAGTGCTATTACTTCTATTACCTTAGTCTTTCTACCCTTCCTCATACCCCTTTCGGGTCTAAATCATCTTATCTGATTTTTGTATAGCATAAAATGATTTTAATATCCCTTCCCTTCTTTAGCCTTCCATATTACAACCCGTCCCAGCCGTATTCATCGGCCTATTCCTGGCTTTCCTGTTTTGGTGTTTCGGTCCATTGTGGTAGAGAAAGGTACAAGCACTACTGTTGAGTCCTTGTCTGTTTGTCCCCGTCACCTGTTTGTGCCATATTTGTAATATAATGCATGGCAAAACCACACAGGTATTTTGTTACCTGAAGCAAACCCTTCATTTAGTATGCCATGTATTGTGTCATATGAATGAACTGAACAATCAACTAATCATAACATTTTGTCTTGTTTCCTTTGTAGTAATGCTAACCATGAATTAATTCCAACCTAACCAGTTGTTAATATCCTGCCTTTAACTGAGTCTTTGTCTCTAGCAAACTGGAGTAAACTATGAATTTCTGCAATACTAATACCCCTTCCCAATTATATTTTTAATCAAATTTTAATGAGAAATGAAGAGTTTGCCTGTTTGAGGTTTTCAGCCAGCTTTCTTCCCCCTCCTCCCTTACCTCTTCTTTTCCATAGTGCAGAGTTTCTTTGTTTCAACCCTTGCCTATATTTACACTATGGCTATGAAGATGAAAAAGACGAGATTAGCGTAATGGACCATTGGCACAATCTTCAACCCCAGTGTGCATTTACTTATGAGAGTAAGCCTATCCGATGTCTTTCTGAGCCCTGTTCTGCAACATTAGAAAATTTCCATAAAAGCCAACTTTCTCAATAAGAACACTAGTAAAAATAAAGCTATCAACTAAAAGCAAGTTGATATTGTAAAGCCCTCTGAAAGTTAACAGGGAACAGCCCATGTGTGCTTGCCTCCAACAGGCATGCATGTTAGTAGACCAAATGAGAAAAATCACGACATTGTTCCACTGGACATGGTCTTGACGAAAAGTATCAGACAGGCAGAGTCCCTAAGTAGCACCTCCCCATCTTGAACCCCATCCGAAATTGTCTTACGTGGTTTCAAATTAGCGGATCAAAGCTTATACCATTCTCTTTCTATCACCTTACCCACCAGCCTTTTGTATAAAACTACCCTCCCATATGAGTCTGGTTTTTATCAAGAAATAAACATTTTAGGCAGAAATATACTCCAGGCATCCATGTATATCAGTTAGTTATAATTTATGGGTACCGGAGTAAATAAAGCAGGCTGAGCCTAGAGGGTTTCTCAGAAGTCAATATTAGGTTTCAGCTATAACAAAACTGAAAGCTGCCCAGGACTTGCCTGAGATGTATCAGGCTTCTACACAGTGGTCCTCTAAAAGAGTTCCTGCTATTACAGCTCTCCTTACACCTGCACTCCCTCACCTTTATTTCTTTTCTTTTTACAATTTATTCTTTTGCAAAAATAAGTTTTTTTCTAATATTCTAAGTATTCAGGACTCTCTGGAACCCAAGGGGTTAATAGGTATGGAAAGAGAGGGGAGAATGTGATATTGACTCTTGGTTTCTTTCCACACAGAAACCGTGGCCCTGGATGCCCATGTTGGCTGCCCTGGTTGCAGTAACAGCCATTGTGCTGTACGTGCCAGGTCTGGCCAGAGCTTCTCCATGAGAGTGTTTCTTGAGTCCGTACACCGTCCTCCCTCTAGAAGCTGGCATCACACTCGTGCTGGGGACAAACAGAACCATTTTCTTCCTTTTTACCTCTTAAAACAGCAGAAGTGCAAGAATACAGCTGTAGGGTCATTGCTTTAAATTATATGAAATGTGTCTGTCTATAAAGAGAATGTAAAATTGTGACTTTATTGTAAGCAATAATTTGCTTGCAATTTTTCATGTAATTTTTAAATTAGTATGTTGAGATTCTGAATATTATGGTGGCCTAAAGTAGGCTTCTTGGTACACCAAATTATTTATAACATTAAATTTATGGGTATTTTACTCTGAATTCTAATGGCCAGATAACTCATTTTTCTGATTCGATAACTACCCAAACCAAACAATCAGTACATACATGGGAAGAGAGGCCCTGTGTGCTCAGTGCCTATCAGTTTGAAATATATACATATATATATATATTTTTTACATATTTACGCCATTTTTACTTGTTATAAAACCACTGAGCTATTGGGAACAAGACTTAGAGACAACTCTTTGCGTGAATTTTTTTTTTAAGGAGAAATAATACACTTGGAAAATATTCTGTTCTAGTGATAATTTGGGGAATTTGTGCACGCTTGTTCAGCCTTAATGTGACTTGATGATGTGGAGGACATCAACTTTGAAAAACTTTCCATGAGAGTGTGTATTTTCTTGAGCAAACTGAAGTATTCCTGGGAGCAAAAACATAGCAATTACATAACTTCAGTGCAGTAAAACCAAACTGTTGAGTCAATTGGAATGTAATTTATTAAACCTCATGTATTTAAAGAGATATTTTCTTTAAAAGTTACTTTTTCATATACAACATTTTAGGAAGCATGATTTTTTTTTTCTATCATCTCTTCCTCCAAAGCATGTTTAATTGAAGAAAGAATTAATATCTCTTTAGATAAGCTTTTACTGACTTAATTTGATTATGATATTTCAAAGCTAATTCATGTTCAAGGTAAGCTGTTGCTATCTATCAGCAGATTTCCTGGTTGGGTATGCAAATGGTTGTTTTCTTTTAATTGTTAATTGGGGTGTTCTGTTAATGAGAAGCACTATTCCCAAGATTAATAGTGTTCCATGCACAGTGAAGCACCTAAACACTGCTTGATATTATAAATTTAAAACACGGAAGTGGTTTTGTGCAGCACCACAGTAATGTCAATAAAGTTTATTTAGATCATAGAATATCCTAAACTATCTCATAGAAATTTTTCAGCCAATGAAGACTGGGAGGGAGTGTCAGTGAACTGGCTCAAATGTTCTGTGGCAATCCACAGGCCTAGCCAAATATTGAAATAGAAGTTTAGGATATAATTTGCCTTGTGGTGTTTGGCAGTCATTGTTTATACTTTAAAGGTTATATTTTAAGCCATTTCGGATTTGCTGTTGGGAGGATCACTAGATTCATGGAGGAATTAGTCACAGATGACTTGTAGAAAATACCGTCATATATAGTTCATTTCATCATTTTCTGTTGCAGGAAGCCACTCCACCACAGAATGCTAATATGCCAGTGGTACCCAGTACCTCTTGTATATAGGTTATTGCAAATATTGTTCTGAAATGCTTAACTTCAGAATTACATTTTTTAAAGTAAATAATTGTTTTAAATCTATTTTGTAAAGATATAAAGTACAATAGAATTTCTGGAGTACAAATTAAACTATTTGCACTAACACACGTGATGTGCATGATTTAATAAAATAACTTTACTCTCCCTATGCATTTTTGAGTTGGATATCATTGAAATTTTTAGTGCTGACTCTACTATTGGATTGTTAGTAAGTCCTTTCTTAAACTGACTCTTTGTGCAACATATATATGTGTGGTGGTCTTTGGGGTTTAAAAGAAAACACTGACCTGTTTCCTCCAGGTTTTATTAGCCTTGTACTTAACTTACTGCTCTAATTTTCCCCCCTCTTTTACTATGGTTATTGTTAAAACATGACTCACTTGCCAGACAAGTCTCTCTAAATGTAAAGTCTAGTATCAATATTTACTTTATTTAAATAGAATAAATGGGTTTTTGTAGTTACTGCCATTTTTTCTTAAGCATATAAGAAAGCCTATTCATAAGCAATACCTTCAGTTTTGTTTAGTTCATTTCCAGGTTAAATAAAGAGTGGGATTATTCACTGGTAATGATAGAGCTATTAAGAAATTTTAATCACAGCAGTTAAGAATTGGACAACCCTATAAGGATACATTTAAGAATTATTCAAAGAATCTACATGGCTGGGTCAGAAAACAAAAAAGAAAGAAAAAAAAAACTGTGGTGTTGAAGCTAAACAGAACCAAATTGGCCTGCTGACTCTGTCTTTTATCAGCTGTGTTGCCTTGAGCTAATCATTTATCTTCTCTGAGTCTTCATTTCCTCCTTTATAAGATGGAGAGAATAACATCCATATTTTTAGGTGTGGTATGAAAATTAAAAAGATAATGTATGTGAACTGTCCTTTGAGTGCCAAACAAGTGTTTAATGAGGTCTTACTAGAAAAAATACTGCAAAAATTTAAGTTAGGGGAACCATTACAGCTGTTTAAAATGAATTGATTGACTGAAATGTTAAGACTTTCTCTGTGTGTGAATGAAATATAATTGCAAGGTAAGGAATCCAAAGAAAGCATCTTCACTTAGATCTGTCCCCATCATAGTTGTGTCTGTGGGAAGTAATACGTTAGTTAGTGAGCCAATTGCCTACAACAAGGATGCACGTTGTAACTACCTTCAGAGCTACTTTGAGTTACATTGCTGAATAATCAGAGGCTTCCAACCAAAAATAATATTGCCTAGTTTGGTCTCTCACTTAACTTGACCCCCATTAACTTTTAGCTGCTTCCAGTGGTTATGTCTACTATCAAAAAGATGGAAATTTGCCACCAAAGAGGAAAAAACTGCATACAAGACAACTATGTTAAAAATATACAGCCTTGCTCCAAAAAATTCATTTCTGGAAATTTATTCTGATGATGCCATTGTGTGCACAAAATTTTAACTAAACAGCTTTTTTAAAAATAATAATGATGGATAAATAACCTAAATATCCAGCAGTGGATCATTGGTTAATATTGCCAATCTAAATTACTATGCTTGCAAAGTATGTGGGGGAGATATTCATACTATATATTAAGTAAAAGAATAACCAGAGTAGAATAAACCTGGTTTTATAAAGAATAATGTAGACATACAGAGTATGTTCATAGCGGGAGAACTCAAAAAGATTTATACCCAACCTACAGTAGTGCTTCATCTCTATGATTGTAGGTCAATTCCCTTCTCCTTTTATGATTTCTGATTTATTTTTAGTAGTTAATATATGTTGGTTTTGTAAATTTTTAAAGAATTATTTGATTTTGCTTCAAATTAGAAACTAAAAGAATTTTGCAGAATTCCAAATTGGTTTCTACAATTGAATGAGTAACTTGCCAAACTTTCTACATCTAAAGGGGCTAATGTTCATTTGCACTTGCTAATTATGGTGTGTTTGTTTAAAAATCAGTCTTATAATTTTAAACATGGTTCATATACATGTATATAGAATTAGAATGTTGGAGGAGGTCTTAGTAATCCATTCTTACCTTTTCTGCCTATCAAGGAGAGAGTCCAGATAATTTTTTTACTCAAAGTCAGAATGATAATTATAAAGTTGAGAATTAAGATGAAGGGTTTTGTTTGTTTGTTTGTTTGGTTTTGGTTTTTTGTTTTTGCTGCTCCATATTGTCTCTAGGCTTCAATGGTTTTATATCCATTCATTTAGCAAATACTTGTTGAGTGTCTGATATGAAGCACTTGTGCCAGGTCCTGGCAATACTCAGCCCCTATCATCATAAAATTTTTGATGTAAGTAGGAAATACAGGCAAGGAAGCTGGTAACTACAATAGAGTGAATTAGAGGAAGACATAAGATTAGCCTGTGGAACCATAGAAGAGGGGTGCATTCTTTCTCACCTTCAACCACCCAATGATCTAAGCCAGAAACTCTTGGCAGCAGAGCCAGAGGTGAGTTTTCCTTCTAATTAGCCTGGGGAATAGGAACAGGAACAGGACTCATTTCTCTCCATCTCTCTCTCTCTCTCTCTCTCTCTCTCTCTCTCTCTCTCTCTCTCTCTCTCAATTTTAAAAAGTTTACTTAAACAACAAGACATTTGACCTAAAGGAAAATTTATCTAGAACTTTTTTTTTTTCTGTCCTCACCCACAACCTTTCAGTTTATGGGTCAACATTCCAACCAACTGAGCCACCCCAGCCAGAGCTAGGATTCACTTCTTTAGAGTAGTTTATCCCTACTTAAAGACAGATTGTTCTACATGTAACAGCTACATACAAAAAAGCTATAAAATTGTCCTTGGTTTTACAGTGACAAATGAAAACATTAAAATTTTCCAATTGAACAAGGTATTGCAAGGATTTTTGTGTCCTTTTTTTGTTTAACAATGAAAGCAAAATAACTTACTGGACTATAAAGATAAGAGCTGAATGAGCATGCCACTAACGGAAAAAGGAGTATTTTCATAGAACCAGAATTTTTCCCCATCCCATCTCTATTTGGTGTCTATTAAAACATGCCATTGGGCCCTGGCCAGTTAGCTCATTTGATTGGAGCGTCATCTTGTACACCAAAACTTTGAGGGTTCAGTTCTTGCAGGGCATATACCTGGGTTGCAGGTTTGAGACCTGCTCAGGGCTCATGTGGGAGGCAACCAATTGATGTTTCTCTCACATCAATCTTTCTCCCTTCTTCCCTCCCTCCTTTCATCCTCTAAAATCAGTAGAAGGGAAACATACGCTCAGGGAGGATTAAAAAAAACTTTTTAAAATACCATTGACCATCTAGTTTTTAAAAATGCAGATACTTATACACATACATCAGTTACTTGGTGTAAAATAAAGGAATGGGGAAGGGAGAAATGAAAGAAAGCTATACTGTAGTAGCTGGGATGTGGTGGAACCAAATTGCAGTTTTATAATTGAGAATGTTTTCTTGGTCTGGAGTAACCAAGTTCTGGAGTAAAGAAACAGGTTCCCCTTTTCACAGATACTGACTTTCTGCTGCTGGAACACAATTGTATCTTCATCCTCCACTTCCACCTATTCAGGTGTGTCTGTTTCATTCGTTGGGTGCCTGTCAGTTCAGAATCTGATCTGCCTCATTGACAAACTCTGTCGTTCACAATAGGTTTTCATTAGTTTACTGAGTGGTATATGCCTCTTAACCTTACCCTTCCTCCCAGATCCATCCTGCCCCACCACCTTCAAATTAATATGATTGTTGTTCTCAGTCTTGACTCCTTCTTT